TATAGAATTTTTGAATTGTTAATTGATTAATTAATCCTAAAAATTCTTCGTCTTTAAGATTTTTATCTTCATCTGTTTTAGACAGAGTATTTTCCATACTCGTTCCCGTTGATTCTTCATTTTGTAATTGAAGAAAGATGTTCTGATGAGTTTGTTGTTGTTCTTTGATTTGTTTAACTTCAGTTTTGAGAATATTGATCTCATACTGAAGATCTTGGACAGTTATAGGTTTGACAGTAATACTCTTTTCTAGTTTTTTAAGGGTATCTTTAAGATTAAACTTATTAGGAACCAACAACTCTTTAGATTTAGAAGAACTGGTTTCCAAGGATGTTTTAGTTTTGCTAAGTAAGCTTTCTTTTCATGGGGATCACTGATTGAATCTATGACCTCGAACAAAAGATCTTGTTCTTTAGTCAAGACATTAATTTCTTGCGAGGATTGTGAGTCCTCACTAGAAGATAGATCATCTTCATGAATTTGGTTTAAATCTTCTGAGGATTCTTTTCCAGATTCTTCATCCGAGGATTGGATTAGAAGATTATTGATTTGTTCTTCAATAGAAGGATCAAGGTTTAGGTTATTTAGTTTTTTCTTAAGCCTACAATATTTACTAATATGTCCAGGTTTACCACAGCTGTAGCAAATAGTTGGCTTAATTGGTTTGGATGTATTTTGTGATTTATTTGTTTCAGTATTTGGCTTAGGATTTTCATTTTTAAACCTTTTATTGTAATTGGGTTTCTTACGAAAATTCCTAAAAGTTTTAACTTGTTTATGTTCCTGTTTTTTATGTTTTTTAGGTTTTGTAGTACAAGGCAGACCAAATTGTTCACAAAATGATCCTAGATCTTTACGATTTTGAGTTTTTTCTTTTGCAAGTTGACGTTGGATTTTATCATCTTGACAGATTTTTAAAGCTACCTTTTGGATATAAGCAACTAATTGTCCATAACTTAATTGTTCATAAGGGATATCTCCAGTTAGAGATTGATGACGGATTTTATCCCTAACTTTGTCTCCTAAAGATTTTGGAAGACCAGCTAAGAATTTTTCTTTCCAGAAAGGTTGTTGACTATCATCTCGAGTGTAAACCCTAGTTAGGAAGGTATCTTTATACCAGCGAAAGTCACCTAAGGTTCTACATTTAAGATTGGATAGGAGTTCAGCAGAACGATCTTTCCATAAGGATGGATCACCAATGAAATGTTGGACAATGGTGAAGATTAATTGATTAACAGCATCTGGAATAGTTTTTCCATCAGAGACTATAGGAATGCCATCAGGATCAACTTTAATGGCATTAAGAACAGAATTTTTTTCATCTTCAGAAAGATAATTATCCCACCAACCTTTGAGTTGACCAGAGAAGCCAGAGACAATAATATTGACAATAATTGCTTCAGAACAATTATGAGAAGTTTGATAGGCAGTTGCAACCATAGTCATATGGTGCATTATATTGAGTATGTTATACTCTGATTGACCATCTATGTTCCATTCATAGACGTTGTTACCATTAAAACTTTTGAAACTTGTATTCTTTTCTTCAAGTAGAAGATCAGGAGCAGTTGCTTTTTGGTAATAAAGTTTGGAAGGGTTTCTCCAATTATTAATACCAGTTATAGGATTAATTTTAATTTCAGATTTGTTATCTGACTCAGGAGATTCATCATAATGATTCAGAGTATTGATAGTTTTTGACCGAGTGTTATGTTTATGAGACTGTTGAGTCTCTTGATCAGAATGTTGTGGGGTATCAGGAATGGTTAATGTACTTAACTTCTCATCAATTTTTTTAAGAAATTCATCCTGAGACTGAGATTGAGCAGGTTTTAACTTTGCAAACTCTTTTCTAAGTTGATCATTCATTTTGAAAGGTTTGAACAAAGGTTTTTCTAAGTTTTTAGAAGAAGATGCAGAGGATGAAGGTTCAATAGTTTTGATAAGTTTTTCACCCAAAACTTGAAGATATTTGTTGGTGTAATTAGATTGCTCAATAAGATTTTTAAAATCCATTGGAGAGACTTGTTCATTTTCATCTTTTAATTTAAAAGGTGAAGCAAGAACAGACCTACTTTTGTTATCACAAACTTTTGGGAGATAGAAAGAAGTTGTGGGAGGAAATTCAGACTTGATAATCTCTCCTTCTTTCAGGTGCCAATCAGTGATGACATTAGCAGATTGAGGAGTCTTGAATGGATAATCAATGTCCTGTTGGACAGAATAAGCTTGAAACCAATCAAAGAAAGGAATATTTAACTCTACTTTGTCAAGAAAGTTATAAAATTCTTCTTGAATTAGTTGTCTTTTAATTCCCTTATAATTTTGGAAGAACCATTCTTTTTGAGGAGACCGTTCCTCAGAATTAAAGTCTTTCCTAAGGGTTTCCTTATCTATAATGAACTTATATAACATCATAAGAATTATGCATAGAGGAATAGGTTGGAGATTGAATAGATTTTGGGGATTGGATGATACTTTGTTCATTTTCTTCTTCTTTTTGGGTATATGAAGGTTTAGGAATAGAAGAAGAAGTGTCCAAACCTTGGAGATGGAGATTGAACCTACTAGGTTCAGAGATTGTAGAGAAAGATCTCCTTGAAAGAGCAGATTGAAAATCTTCAGAACGAAAATCTTGAGTTTGAACAGACCTGGAAGAACTTGCAGAACTGAAAGAGTTTCTTCTATCGAAGATTATTTCAACAGCACCACTTGGGAACTGCTTGATTTCTCTAAAGTTTGGAGTATCTCTTGGTTGAGCAGGTGTTGCCTTCTCAAGTCTCCATTTATCTGGTAGGACTATGTCAGTCCAACGGATGGTTTTGGGAACAGTGACATTTGCTCTAGACATGTCAGTAAGGAACAAAGTAGTTTCCCCAGTTTTCTTGGGTTTAAGAACCCTAGAGATGGAAGAATTCAATACTTTATATTGAATCCTAAAAAGCAAAGCTGCTGGAATAGATCCGGATTTCATGTCCAGACCACTTGTCTCAATGTTCAAAGTTAAGACATCCAAGATGTTTTTATCTTGAAGACTAACCATACGATCAGGATAACAATTGAAAAAGATTGGTCCATTGCTTAGGCTTGTTTCAACAGTTCCAAGTATAGAATCTGTAAATTTGTTATGCCTTGTATCACGAAGGCATAGAAGAACAGAAGCATTTAGACCTTCAATTCCAAGAGGTTTAATAGCCACTTGGACACATCCGATGTGCAGATAGTTATAACTTTGTTTATGAGTTTGTATAGACGATTTTGAAAGTAGTTGAAATTCTTCAAATTCCTTATTTAAAGGGATATTTCTTTCAACTGTTCTGATGATATAGTCAGATTTCCGAAAGAAGTTTCCTTCGGGTTTGTACAGTTCATTAGTTGGAATTCTGGGAATTTCCCAGTTATCCAGATCTTGATTGATATCTTCAAAGGAGATTTCTTCTTTAAAAATATTTTTTGTATGATTTTTAACTTGATCTTTATGGATGGAAGAAGAAGATGGCTGAGATGATTTGAAAGAGAGCTTAGAAGAGAAAGATTTAAACATGATAATAAAACAGATGTATTTCCCAGATATCTGAACCATCATTTGGATCCATAGTAATACAGAGATAGATGTAAATTAACTTTTATCAACTGAGCATTAGATTAAGATTTTAACGTAAATAAACAACAGATTGTCAGAGATCTTCTTGATCCCTTGTTCAACATCGGCAAATTTGACTTACTGCCCTTCATATGGGACTTACTGCAACAGTTGAACAAGTTCTCAAGACTTTCATTTCTCATCCTACAATCATACATGCTTCTAACACATGTTAAAATGTTAACATAAAGCTCAGATAAATAACAGATAATTTAGATCTATCCATATATTCCTACTTCCCCATCAGGCTCTGATACCAGTGGGTTCCGGAGTTTAGAGAGATAGTCTAGAGAGAGAGACTGCGAGGTACTTCTGAGTTTTCTCTTCTTCTCTGTTTTCTCTTTAATCTTTCAATCTGTAACTGTAATCTCAATCTTTATGTTTTGAATAAAAGTTTTATTTCATACATGCTTATGTAATGAACTCTTCTCTTCTCCATCCTTCCACCCAAGTTTGACTTCGGCCTACATATATATAGGTAGGATCCTTTGACACCTCATCTGAGAGTCGTTAGATCAAAAAAGATCAATGGTGTCACATGCTTACAAATAAGAGCCGTTAGATCTTTTTTGATCTAACGGCTCTCAGATGAGGTGTTAAATTTAAAAATTTGACACTGGTGTCAAAGGATCCTACCTCATATATATATATATGTTAAATTTAAAAATTTGACACTGGTGTCAAAGGATCCTACCTCATATATATATATATATATATATATATATATATATATATATATATATATATATATATATAGAGAGAGAGAGAGAGAGAGAGAGAGAGAGAGAGAGAGACGGTGACGCTGGAACTAAATAGTTCTTGTGCTGTGGTTTTTTGGGTTTTAGTTTCTTTCTTCATGTTGGATTAATTAAGAATTTTATATTTACAACATAATTTCACTTTTCACCTATTGAGTTTAAATGATCTTGTTTAAGTTACAAAAATGTGTTGGTTGAGTAATCCCATTATAAAAATTCTGTAACTGGTGCTTTTTAGAAGTTTTTCATCCCCTTCCAATTTTTACTCTTATAACTATAGATATTACGGATATGCGTTGCTTTCAAATTAACATCGTGGTGTAGTGTCTTCAACCAAACAGAAAGAAACAAAAGACCGCATGTTGGTACTTTATGTACATTAAAAATAATGATAACGATACTTCAATGAAAGCTCTATCAGAAGTTCAATAATCTTGTACCGATCCATCCATATCTCAATTTGTAGCCACAGAATGTCACAAATGTACTACAATTAATAACTAGCTTGACATAGGCATACAAGTTATTTATGTTATAAAACACACATGTTACTACGGGTCGGTATATGGAACAGTAAATATATATACACACATATTCTAAACATTCTGGGCCAGCGGCCAAGAATCTGTTCCGATAGGAGTATCTGGCATCTGTTGCAACCCTACTCTGTTAAAGGCTATTGAATTGTACATGTCCCTATATTCACCATTTCCAGCTCCTGAGAACACCATCAGGTCAGCATCCATCTCTAGAGGGAAGGAGTTCTGGAAATTACTTTGATTTGGATTCAACTTTTCCATCCAGCGCAAGTTATTAGTGTCATCTAGTAATTGGTATTGATAGAATGTAGCCTCCGTTTTCGGAATATTCTGTTCCTTGACCTTCAGGGTGGAATATTGTTGCGAAAGCTTGGACTTCAAGAATAGTTCCGAAGATGGATGGTTTCTTGTGTTGGTGATTTCTCCTGATGCACTAGCAGCAGCTATTGGGAAAGAAGGTTGGAATGCATGCAATGGGAAAATATGAGAATGGGAGAGGTCATTTTGCTCTTGGTGGTGAATCAGAACTTGGGATTGACATTCTAGTTCAAGTGAAAAGGAAGTCATTGGACTTGCATGTAATGGGGGTAAAGAACTTTTTGTGGGGGACAAAGAAGGTACCAAATGTCCTTGAACTTGAAGCAGTGGAGTTTTCTTCTCCCCAGATTTATGAAATATCCTGCATATCACCCATTCCTCCTGTGAAAAGAATCATTTACTTCTTAAAGTCAGAGACCTTATTCTATATAATAGTCTTGCACTAGAAATCCCAACAAGCATACATGGATGTGTAACTTTTTATGTGATTGTGGCAGCATTGATTTATTTTTTAATTTTAAAAAAAGAAGCATTGAATTAAAGAGAAAGGACAGGAAAATTGTCATTCACATGTTTGTAGCAAAAAAATGTATCAAATCACATAAAAAAAAAAACCTACCCAAATGGTTAATAAAACATCAAGAGAGTGAAAAGGGTCTTAGATCATGAATAGGAAATGACTTGGTTCCTCGGTATACGTAGGTCAACTCAGAAGTAGACAAAATGTAACAAGAGTAGGAATGGGATATGATGGGATGGGGGTGGGAGTAGAGGAAAATATCTTCGATACATCAAATATAAAGGAATCACACATTTACACTATTTTTATATTTATTTCCTTTCATATTTCTCTTTTTTTTATTTTTAATAAAAGAATACCTACTCTCATTTTACCAAAAATTCACTCGGAGCAGAGGGAAGATAACTTGATTCACACGGCTTCTGTAGCAAATTGAATAGTGAATGAGAAGAGCAGTGTGAGGAGCTGAGAATTATGGGCACAGTACCTTACAAGTGTGAGTGTGAGGGTGGGAAATGGAAAAGTCACCGTCCAAACGGTACTCATGCATGACCCATTTGGTCTTTTCACCACGAGGGGCCCTGCCTTTGTAGAAAACAAGGGTCTTCTTCATGCCAAGTAGGGCTCCACTGGACGCACTGTAAATTTCCCTGTCCTTCCCAGTGGCCTTCCAGTATCCAGCTCCGGTTGCTCTGTTTGTTCTTAGTCCAGTTGGGTATTTTCTGTCCCTCAAGCTGAACAGATACCACTCTCTCTCCCCCATCTTTGCCACATCTGCACCACACAACATTTAATTTACAAAACACTTGCTGATTCCAGGGGATAGATATAGAACACTTGTACATATATAATTATAATATCGATAAGCTATATATAATTTCCCCACAGACATGTTATAAACCAATTAATTCTATCTAAAAGATTTAAAGTTAAGGTACATGATAGTTTTATATTTCTATCAACAAAAACGGGGGTGAAATTGTTTTCTTGCCTTTTGCATTTAGAATGCATGGTGACAATTATATATTTAGGAAGGCGTAAGTTATCTAACTAGAGATGGTAAATATGTAAATATATAGCTGGTAGGGGGCCATAGCAGCTCAAATCTACGATCTTATTCAGCAGGCACAAACAGAAAATTAAAGAAGGAAAACACGATAAAAGGAGAAACATAGTTAAGAAGAAGACTCAAAGCGATTAAACCGAAACCATTCTAAATTTGAAGCCACGTGTGCTTGTAGATGGCCATAATTTGTGTCGTAGTTAGGTTTATGAACATAATTAAAAGGCCAATTGCAACGCCGGCAGGGTTATGGGAGAATTAAAAATATATACCTTACTAAAATACTATTAGAGCTGACATACACTTATCTTTCACAGACTTCAAAAATTTTCTACCATTCACCATATTTTTTTCCCCCTCATTCTTTCTTTGGTTGACTGAAATCAACATGCACACACACCCCTCTTGTGAGAGGGTCTGGGCTAGAAAAAATATATGAAGTATAAGATACCTGGAAGTTCCCATGGTTCACATCTATTGAGATCAACCTCAGCAAATTTGATATCAGTGAAGCTGCCGTTAAACACCTTTGAAGCCAAATAAAAGGTTACAAGTTCTTCATCAGTCGGGTGAAACCTAAAACCTGGTGGCAAACCTTGCTTGTTTCTCTTTTCATGATCAGTAAGTTCACATAATAGCTCTTCCATTGCTAACATGACCTTTTCCTCCACACTCCCACTTAAATTTTTTTTATTTTGCAGGAGGACTCAAAACAAATGCGAGAAGAAGAGCAAAATATTAAACTTGAATATTGGATTGTGGAAAAGGGGCATATATAAGGTTGTGGAGGGCGTGCAGCGAGTTCTGAAAACGAGGAGAGTAGTAGGAGAACACAACAGATGAACAGGTATACGTATTAACCTGAACCTGGGCCTACACTACAGAACCAACCCCATCAGCTACAATTTCTCGAATGAAGAGTAACCTACTTTAAAATTGGAGAGAAATGCTTTTTAGGAATTCAAAAAATTATTTATCTTAAAAGCCCATAGTTATTCTATATAATAGTCAAATTAATTATTAGTTATTGTTTAAGCATAATAATTTTGATATGCGTCTTGCCTTAGACGAAGAAAAAAAAAAAGAGAATGCACAGTTCAGAAGGTTAATTCTTTGTGGGTTGACGTAAGGATTGCATTAAATGCAAGGTTGGTTGCAGAGTCAGGCTTTCAATTCAGAGAGAAAGGGGGGATGAAACCATATATATATAGAGTCTCAACAGCGATCATCTTATCTCATCACTCAATTCTTTTCTTGTGGGTTAATTATCTTTCCTCCTCTTACTATTAAATTGGTAAGTTTCAAATTACATTATTCAGTTTGTGCACATTTCTATAGCCTGGAGTTGGCTTTTGATTTTGTGTGAATTAGAAAAGTAAAATTAGAAAAAACATTCGGAAAACACAATAGAGGATTATTTGTCCTGTTAACAGACAAATAAATTAATGAATTAAGGATTTAATTCAAGAGATTAATGGAAGAGGACTTTTCTTTATGTGACAGAAGCCCAAATAATTGCACAGGCTAGCTGTTCAAAATGCATAGTAGTATAGTAAATGATTGTGGTTGGGACCAAATAGGAAATAGGTACTCCCTGAGCCCTCGCATGATATAGGTAGCAAGCTAACTGTAGAAAAGTAGAATGGAGCAGCGCGGGTGTAGCTGGTACTAAATTGTTATTAATTAAAAAGGGACAGTGCACGTGTATATCAGTATAGTATATGTATATTATATAAACCAAAAGGGCATCAGCATACAGGATTCACCAGCGATTTGAATGAATCTGAAGGGTGCAGGTGCCTTAGATCTTAGTGACTTGCCCAAGTAAAAGATAATAGCAGAACAAGAATCCAATACGCCATATATGTAGCCTAGGTTACATAAGCCTACGCCCTTAGCCACTGTGCTCTGAATTTTAATAATATCTCGCCTTGTTTTGCTTGTCTTTCTCATTTTATCTGCACATATCCCTATCCTGTGCTAAAGCAGAGAAATTTTCTCGTTTTCCACAATGGAATTCCTTCTTATATAGTGACTTAGGGAGTGATGACTCGTGATCACCTGTCATTTATCTCCATATATTTATAGCCTGCTTATTTGGTAGGTTTTCAAATTCCCTCGTTTATATATACTTAATATTTATTTGTTTTTTTGTATTCATACAAATATAATTATAAAAACACTATCAAAATAAAAGAATGATTCGTTTATATTTTTTTTTTATAAATTATACGAAGTATAATTGATTATACACTTTTAATAAGGGTCAAATATAATATAATTTATAAAAATTTATAAACAAAAAATTTATAAATATAACTTTCTTATATACTTCTACCTTTTCTAATATTTTCTAATCTAAATCACAATTTACTTATGCTTTCTTTTAAGTTAAAAACAAAATTTATATCATCTAAATAAATATTTAAACCTGCGCAACCAATCAAAAAGACGGTTGTTGCTACTGGGGAGAAAAATCCCATCAACCAATTCAGTGAGGTAGTGTTTGGTTCGGGAGAAAAAAAATTTATTAGAGAAATGTAATTGATAGAGAAATAGTTGGAAAGTGAGTTTGTTAGAAAAATGTAAAAAAAGTTGTTTGGTTGACCCAAATATTACCAGGAAAATTTATTTAAATATGCAAAATCTATGTTCGGGAGAAACTTTGCACCTGTTTTTTTCACTTCCCCAGTTATCTCAGAATACCACATCTCAAGTGGTATTCTGTAACAGTGAATTTCATTCAAAAATCAACACAAAAGTCATTTTCCCATCTATCCTATTTGCCTGGTATCTTTTGAAAAAACCTGAACCAAACGTGGTATTTTCCAATATCCACTTACACTTTTCCATCAATCCCAAAATAAACCTTCAACCAAACACTACCTGATTGTTATTTTGGAGAGTATTTTTAACGGAGGTAGATTCTCTCAGGTGAAAAAATGGTTATGTGATCATGTTACTTAATCACAACCACTCATTGATGATAAGATAAGAGAAAAAAAATGTATAATTTTTAAATTAGTGATTATGATCAAATTAATAACATAACTAAATGACCACTTTTTCACATAAGAGAATCCACTCCTATTTTTAATACTCCAATCGCATCCAATAATAAGTTATAGGGATTGTCGATTGTCATGTTACGTGACCGGGAAGACTGAAAAGACAATTTCAAGTGGGAATCCATGTTATTTTTTATTTCTCCCTCCTCATCTCATTTTCTATTTCTTTTTTATTGTTTGTACAGGAATATTGCATAATATGTAACATCCTTTAAAGATCTCAATATCACATAGTGTTCAACCAAACATATTTAATAATAATAATAATAATAATAAAAATATCTAAGAAAATAAATTTTAGAAAATTAACCGCAAATACTAACATCACTTTATCATGTTAATCTTAATATACTTATTTAATAATAAATAAGTGTATGTATATATATACTTAGATATAAAGGTGTAAATGGGCTAGGTCGACCAACAGGGATTTACGTCCTAGCCTATATTAGTTCAGATTTGGCCTATTACAAATAGTTAAATAGAACAGATTTAGACTTTTTAAAAAATCTATATAAAAAATCTATATATATATATATATATATATATATATATATATATATATATATATATATATATATGCGCGCGCAAGTCCTGCTCACTTGCAGTGGCGGAGCCACGTATTGGTTGGGGGGTGCCTGGGCTCGGACTAAATTTTAACAAATTTTATTTATTATATATAATTATATAATTAATAATAATTTGATTTGGATTAAAATTATAATTTGACCCGGGCTAAAATTAAAATATATTTGATGAAGAATTTGAGTAGGTTGTATCAAGTTATGTGTTCCATTTCAACTTGTATCCAAAAAAAAATTAAAAGCATTTAATAAAATTAAAAAATATTTAATAAAGTTATCAGTCTTTGACTCTCTTAATTTATGTTTCATCTTCCGCTACTGTTCTAACTTCTAAGGTCAGGCTCTCTCTCTCACCAGGTATTTGGCTTTATTTTTTTTCTTCCCGTTTTGAGCTTTTTTTTCTCTACCAATGGAGCTAAGCTAAGGCTCCTACCTTTAACCCAACTAGTTTTTAGGAATTTTTGTTCTTTCAATTTTTTCCCCAACAAAAAGTTCATAGTGGAAAGGCACCACTTTAACGCTGATAAATTAGCGCTGATGACTCTCTTTCAATTTTTGTTCTTTCTCTGCCAATTTAGCGCTGATAAAGGCGCCACTTTCCTCAAAGTGGGAGCAAAAACCTTAACTGACCATTTATTATTTTATCATTTTATGGCACCGATCTTTATCATCTTTGCTCCGTTAGTGTTTGTTCTTTTTGCCTGCGACCCGTGGACATTTTGAACAACATATTGGTCCTATTAAGCAGTAACAAAATATATGTAATGGATTCGATGATGCTAACACTATTTTTTTTTTTAGGTGTGGGTTTTTTAAAGAGTACTATTTAGTTCTTTTTATTCAGATTTAAAGTTAGATCTACCACCAAGACACTTGAATAGAATATTTTGTGAATATAAATGTGATAAAATTTTCTCTTTTGTTTTTGTTTTGGGAGAATTAAATCTTCTATTAGTGGACAATCGGCACATGGCAGATATTTTTATTTGCAATTCATCAGCCAAGTTACATGGAGATGGAATTATATAAACTCTTTGGTTTAGCTTATTTGTACTTCTTTTTTTGTAAAGGAAATTATTTGTACTTTTTAATATGAACTTGTTATGTTTTCTAGTGAGTTAATTATTGTTTAATTTTAATGATTCAGGTATGTGAAAAGGAATCATTTTATTGATGTTACTGAAGTGTTTAGCGTACTTAATATGCTAAGAAGAAATTTCGGATAGCCAAAATTCTTTTTTACATAATGGTGCACCTTATAATTGTTGAAAGAGATAAAATTTGGTTGTGTATGTTGAAAGAGATATTGCTGAAACTTTTACTACAAATTCGATCCTTGAAGATTTCGTTAATTTAAAAGAGCGCCGCTTACATTTTTAGGTATGCAATTTTTTATTATATATTTTTTTTTTTGTAAATGAAAGTTTAAATGGGGTTAGACACCGGTATTCCACTAGGGTCAGGGAAGACCCCCCAACCTCTTTGAGGATTTCTAGGAGGGATTACATATAATTTTTTATTATATTTTAAATTATATATTAATGTTATTATACCTATAATTATTATATTTGTGTGTTTTCATTTCCTTAGGGCAATGCTTGGTTCATTACTTATTATGATGCGGGAGAAAAATGCAATTCTTATCTTTGAAATTCTTACCGAAAAGGTCAGTACTTTTATGTTTGCTTTGATATATAATCAATGACAATTGTTCATTTGAATTTTTAATGTTATGTGAGATTATTTAGTAAATCATTTAGATCTGTATGCTAAAATTTATAGTAAATTTTTTTCTTAATAAATATATGTAATTACAATAAACATTTTAATAATTTAATATGTAAATTTTTTTGACCCAGGCTAAATTTACACCCTGGCTCCGCCACTGCTCGCTCGACGGAAAAATTTAAGAACGAAGGAAAGGTAATAGAAGTGGAGAATAAGAAAGAAAGTCAGAGAAGAAGAAAAAAAGAGAGAGGCAACAGAAGCGAGAGAGAAGGAAAATCGAAAAATTCGCAAATGAAGGCAATATTGAAACTAAAAAATTTCTCAGCTTTTTTTTTGTTATTTCTTTTAAAAAAATTAATGGTACTATTACCCTGCCAATTTCTTTTCTTAAAATTCTTTTTATTTGATGTTATTCCTACCTTTAACTTTATCTTATTTTATTTTTAGTTGTATTTTCTACTCTGCCATATACTGCGTTGGTATCAACTAATTAATTCATACTTCATAAGTTTGTAAATCTCTAACCTGAAGCTTGAGTAGTTGGTTTAAGTATTTATCATCAATCCGTTTCTCAATTCAAAAGATGACAGTTCTTTGTTTGTTTGTTAAACATATATTCATATGACAACTTTGTTTAAACAACACTGTACTAAAGTTTGAAAAACATAAAATATAAAAGCAAGATATGTCTTACGTAACCGTATAATTAATAATTACGCTTAACCCATAAGAGAAAGTTGCTTATTGATTGATGAATTATTTGATATCCAATAAATATTAAGAGAATTTATAAATTTTAACTGTATAATATTGTTATGAACTGACTCATAAAAGTTTGGGTTCAGACAATTTTGGGATAAGGGACACTTTATCATGGCTTGAGCTTCGCCATAATAACTTTTTACATGTAGGAGATCCACAAAATTGGAATTATATTAGCTTCAGTTAAATATTACACAATTTATTTTCATAATTTATGATATTATTTCATTTTATGAAATATGTTCGAGAGATTGATATTTTTCGTTATTATGGCTAGAAATGGTTATATTTAAAAATCACAATATTACTAAGATTTATTTCACGTTTGTTTATTTTGTGCTAACCTTTACAGAAAACCATCATGGATAGCTTATCTTTTTCTGGAGAAGGATGGAGTGTGAATATTTATTTTTATGACGACTGTTGGGAATACTACGTAATAGTTGGGAACCAAGGAGCTGTAGCCATATTCCATGCAGATAGTGTGGAAACTTATACGTATAGGCTAGACTAGAATGAGAAGTATATATTGAATAAATGTTGTAACCTATGTAATTAGGAATGTAATATATGTGTGGAACTAATGTAAAATATATGTACTAACTTACATCCATGTATAAATAATGACGGATGTTAGTATTTTCAATTAATCTTCCTAAATTTATTTTCTTAGATATTTTTTTTATTATTATTAAATATATTTGGTTGAAAACTATCTGATATTCTCTATATTGGGATCTTTAGAGGATGGTACATTTTATGGTATCAGAGCAGAGGTTCAGGTAAATAAAAACCTAAATTATTTGATATTTTGTCATAGAGCATGCATATTTTTCGATTATTTAGTAATGTGTCTGATCAACTCACTAGTCACTACCATGAAACAACATATGTAGATCTATGACAAATACAAGACAAACTTCTTCAACTTCTGAATTCTGACCTTGATTTCGAGGACACTACCTCAACATATGTACAGGCTTTCCATACTTAAAGCATACGCCTCTTTCCGCTAGGCATTATTCAGCATGATTATTCTTGCATTTTGGACATATCTGAATCTGAAGATTCATCTTACCTGCATTCTTCCTTCCTCCATTGTTAGTAAAGTTGTTTCCCGAGTTTTGTGCCCGTGGAAACCTCCCTTTGTTGTTGTCATTGTTCCTTTTCCGACTTGAAACTCAATCTTTCTCTCTTCTCTCCTCAGCTTACTTCATGCTTGCTTCAATGTCTCTGCACCTGTTTATTAATGATGATAAACATTAAATTAACTGGAAATACTAACATAATTTTTTCAAGTAAAATTGAAACTGTAATACACTGGGAGAGACCTAAGACAAGCATAACTCTGTATTTCTTCTAGAGAATTTCCTAATTGTTCGAGAGCAACTAGAAAGAGATTCCTTAATAAGAAAGAATTCAGTTTCGGAACCAAATCCTAAACTTTTTAGTAATTCTCAATAAATTATAACTGTTAATTAATGAAAATTAACGGTTAGAATTTGTTTCAAAAGATCCTACCCTCTCTCTCTATATATATATATATATGTGAAAAAAAATATTTCTCCGGCAACTTGAGATAAGTTTATCTCTAACCACTACAAAACTACGTCGTTTTATTTATTTATTTTCTTATATTAATTGATTCACCTTTGAATGATTATGATTCCCCTTTTCTTTTTCTTCCTTCATTACCGTTAATCCATCTTTGTACGGTTATGGTTTAGTAGCCGGAGATAAAATTATCTCAAGCAGGTTGAGAAACGTTAAACCCTATATATATATATATATATATATATATATATATATATATATATTATCTCAATCACAAATTACTTTTGCTTTCATAGGTTACAAAAGAATGATATAATCTGAATAAATATTTAAACCTGAGCACAGAGGAAAAAAATCCCTTCTGTGCTAGAGACTACACAAAAAAATTTAAACGTTAGGTCACGTGACAAATCAGTGTATAAACTACATGCATATACGTTGAGTGTGAAATTATCTTCGGTATATATTTTACTAAATTTAGAAAGAAAAATAATATAATCAATTTTTTTGATTTTACCCATACTTTTATAATTATTATTACCTACATCCCACTTTTTCTTATTTTTAATAAATGATTATATTCTCCTCTAATACGAAAGATTTGCTTGTTCAGTGCAAGTATGTCTCTGTTTTTTTGGTACATCCTTTTAAAGTATAATTTTAATTTAAACGGTAAGTAGTATTTCCGAAGGAAAAAATGTTTATCTATTTTTTTTTGTACAAAAATGTTTATTCTTTTAAATGACGCAATTTATGTCATTTCACTTTCACAAAGAGGTGAACGTAAGACTCACACCTTTATTTTTATTTTTGTTAACTCTCTCTCCTTTTTTTATTTATCTATTTCTCTATATTAAAATAACACAATTTTACATCTTTAAAATGACACACACTTTTTTCGTTTCTGAAATACTCATTATACAACAAAAAAAGAAAGAAAAAGGATATACTTATCACAAAAAAAGTTTATCATCTTTACATCAACTTAATCACCATTGATTTTCGTCAATCTAACGGTTATACTTTATTGAAAATTATTGGGTTGTAGTTATTAATTAATTATTAATTCTAAATAAATTATAACTGTTAGATTGACAAAAATCAATACTAATTAGATTGGTTGTAAAGATGGTAAACATTTTTTTACATAAGTATATCCCGTAAAAAAAAAATGTTTAACATTATAATTTACACCAATGTCGACGGATATATCCGGTGAATAATCATATTTATATCGCATGTATTTTATAGAATTTTAATAGAACTCATGTGATTAACTGTTGGATGATTTTTATGTTTGTTTGAAAAAAATTAATAAGTTCTTAATATATGTAAATTTATAGAAAACAAAATCATTTAGATTAATGTAACACTTTCATATGTATAACATGGATGATTAATGTTCAATTTTATTACGTAAACATTAAATGTAGTAATTGTTCAGGCAATATTATTTTTGCCCGAATTAAGAAAAGTCTCAATCCATTACTCACAATCCTGCTACAAGATTTTTAAGATTAACGCCATGCGATCCTTCTGATACGTTTTTTTTTTAAAAAAAGAAAAGAAAAAAGAAAAAAGAAAAGAAAAAGATATGAATGTTCATTTACTGCACTGAAATGCAAATATATTATATACTATCTTGTACCACATAATTAAGGCATGTGATTTTATGCTTTGATGTAAAGTCACATGAAAGAACATACTTAAAGACTACTCAGTATAGAGTGGTATAAATAACAATCCCAAAAAAACTTTACTTGAAAGCAATATCTAAAACATAACCTATATATAGTACCCCTTGTACCCATTCTTCCTCATCCTTTCTCATCAGTATTCTTCTCTTTTATTCACAATTCAATAACAATTTGCCATGGCTTTTTCCTTCTCCTCCAAAACACTTGTCCTGGCCTGCTCCTTCTTTCTATTTGTGTCTTTGGCTTTTGGACGCGATTTCTCCATTGTGGGGTATTCATCGGAGGACTTGAAGTCCATGGATAAGCTCATTGAACTCTTTGAATCATGGATATCAAAACATGGCAAGATTTATGATACCATTGAGGAAAAGCTTCTTAGGTTCGAGATTTTCAAGGATAACCTTAAACACATAGATGACAGAAACAAGGTTGTCAGCAACTACTGGCTGGGGCTGAACGAGTTTGCGGATTTGAGCCACCATGAGTTCAAGAACAAGTACCTGGGTTTGAAGGTTGACTTGTCTGGAAGGAGAGAGTCACCAGAGGAATTCACTTACAGAGATGTTGATTTTCCAAAGTCAGTGGATTGGAGAAAGAAAGGTGCTGTAACCCAAGTTAAGAACCAAGGTTCATGTGGTAAGTTCAAATGTAAAGAGAAGTTATGTATGTGTTAAATGATGAAAACAGCATATTGACACGGTGACTATATATGAGCATGATTATTTTCAGGTAGTTGCTGGGCATTTTCCACTGTTGCAGCTGTTGAGGGAATAAACCAGATTGTGACGGGAAATTTAACATCTTTGTCTGAGCAAGAGTTAATTGACTGTGACAGAACTTACAACAATGGTTGCAATGGGGGTCTCATGGACTATGCATTCTCCTTTATAGCAGAAAATGGTGGAATCCATAAAGAGGACGATTATCCTTACATTATGGATGAAGGTACTTGCGAGATGAGAAAGGTAAGCTAAGAAATTAAGTCTAACAGAGCCATCGTGTATATATATATATATATAGTTCCAATAACGTAATAACTAAACTTTTTCACTTGTTATTCCAAACCAGGAAGAAACTGAAGTTGTCACCATTAGCGGGTATCATGACGTGCCACAAAACAATGAACAGAGCCTATTGAAGGCACTTGCAAACCAACCTCTCAGTGTGGCCATAGATGCTTCAGGCAGAGATTTCCAATTTTATAGTGGAGTATGTTTAATTATATAAACTAGTTGTTATGGCAATTATGGTTCTTATATGAGAAACTAATTATTAATACAAATTGTTAAATTGGTTACCATATGTAGGGTGTTTTCGATGGACAATGCGGAAGTGAACTAGATCACGGTGTGGCAGCTGTTGGATATGGTACTACATCGAAAGGGTTGGATTATGTCATAGTGAAAAATTCATGGGGATCGAAGTGGGGAGAGAAAGGGTATATAAGGATGAGGAGAAACATCGGAAAGGCCGAGGGGATCTGTGGAATCTACAAGATGGCTTCTTATCCCACTAAGAAGAAATAAGATTCAATGAATAGCTGACCATTGTTGTGCCTGAATTTCTTTCCTTGTTTTACTTTTATTATTTCTGTAGTGTCTGCTATTTCCATCACTTCCTTTGCAGCATTGTAACGTCTTCCATATAATAATACTGAATAATTGTTGTCCACCGCCCCACAAAAAAATATTAAACAATTTTTTTTTTAAGAAACAGAAAGAAATTAAAATAACAGACAACCAACATAAAACTAAAATGTGCTAGCCACAGCACATGCGAGAGTGATCAACATCTATGATATTTTTTATTTTATTTTTGTAGAAAACATCTATGATATTTTTACATCCCAGCTATGCTTATAAGCCCGGAGGTTAACCAATCTGCCACACTATTTACTTTCCCTAAAATTATGGATGACTTTAACTCTCCAAGGCTGAGTAAGCAACTTCTTTAAACTATTAACCAAGGGGGACAAAGGGTGATTACCAAGGCAGCCATTAAAGATGAAATTTTTAGATGCTAAGGAATCTTCTTCCTGCCAAATTTGTCTATAGCCTAGATTCCAAGCTTACAATAAACCAGATAAGAACCCCATAGTTATGCCACCCTAAAATTACCAACACCTAAGTTTTTGGAAACTCCAGAAATCCACCTCCCTCTACTATCTATCACGAAGGACTCCTCCATAACCATATCTTATGCCTCGCAAAGAGCTAGAGCCATCAACATTTACCTTGATCTAGCTCTCCTCCAAAAAAACTCAAGCTATCAATTTCTCAGTTCTTATAATTTGCATTGTTTACACTTTCCCTATAGCGCTTAGCATTCCTCACTCGAAACTTTATGCTAAAAAACTAGTTGGTTGCGTTCCTGCAAAAAGCATCTAACATGAGATCCTAAACAGCATACTCCAATGTGTGCCTATTGCAGTTCCTTTGATTTACTCTTTTCATTATTCTCATGAGCGACTTTCCCTTCCCCATATCCTATTATTTCTTACACGAACAGGTTCTACTTTTGCTAGTGGTTTTATTAAATAGATTGTAAAACAGAAAACGTATTACACATCATATGGGAATACTCCACATAATATCAAGCCAAATACAATATCAGGTTAACGAATAAATGTTACAATATTCTTTCCATCAAATAAATAGAAACCATAACAAAAGCGTGACTCTAATTTAAAATAATTTCAAGCAGGAATGTGTTAGACAATCATAAATAATTTAATAGAATAAGAAATGAAACGAATGATTCCTGCCACTTTGTCTTTAGCCAGCAAACCTACACTAATCTTCATTTAATAACACCTTACTTTAATGATAATAAAATTGTGAAGAAAGGGCAAAAGTCTAATGGAATCATTACTACCATCAAACAACTGGGTAACAAAGACGGTTTCTGCAGGCAGCAAACAACAAAATACAATTAACGGATAATAATGTCACTACCATGTCATGGTCCTACGTTGTCCTTCATCACCACCCGAACCTGGCTGAACCTCTTTGAATCATCCAGGTGCAGAAAGACTAAGTTCAAATCTTTGGCAACAGCCAACGAAATTAACCTAAGAGCATATGATGTATACCTTACATATTTTTCTTGAACTAATATTGCACAAAGCTAATGTTACAGGTGTGTCTCTCTAATGCCTAAAGCAAGGTAAAAGACACACGTGCAATAGCATAACAAGTGAGCAGAGTTTTACTTCCAGGGCATGCCTGAAATGCCTTGTGGTGGGTTATTGTTATTGCAGGCTCCTGTACTCTGGTTAAGCGGGCTTCCAGGTCCACCCGACGATTCACTACGAGTACCCCGTGATGGAGAGCTGCTTTGGCCAGCTGCGGAAACTTTTGGCGGGGCAGATAACTTTGCCATCTGCTTTGCAGACTTGGATTCCTTGCAACCCTCTGAAAAGAAGCTAGCCAAAATAACCTGCAAAACAAATGCATTATTTCAAGAGAAAACAAACTGAGAAGTATCTGCAGAGTCTTTCCAAGAATTACCTTTAAGGTGCCATTATTCCAATTCCCTCACATAAATGATTCAGGAAGATACTAAGGTCGAGCTAGGATACATATCTTACCTATTGTAGTGTAGGTTTTAACACGCACAAAAAGGTACGAGAAAGTATGAACATGTGGAATTGTGGACACTTTCTTCTTCTTTTAAACGTCTGAATAAAACGGACATAAATCAGAAAATAAAATGTACCTGAACAGGGGTAGCAGCTACCAAAAGACCTGCAACTCCGCCACCCAAAACACGGCCATCTGGCCCTGACAAAGACACACTTAATCCACCATATCTGCTGTTCTGACCATCATTTTCAGAAAGCACCAAAGAACCACCAAGAGATAGGATCTCAAATCGCCCCTGAAAAACCAAAATATCACAAAATGAAGTCAAGTTCACTTGCTCACAACTAAGGCATGCAACTTGTTTATAACACGACCTGATCATCAACATGTCCAAATAACGGTCAGGCAATAGCCTCATTAACAAGTCTCGCTTGTAAATATAGATTAATGCTAGTATACCATACCCAGATAAACAACACTTGTGTTTGGGCAAACTTCTAAAATCAACTTTCTCACACAAAGCAGTGAAATAAATATCATTGCTAATGTTTATTTGATTAGGGTAAGAAAACAAATATAATTAATAAGAGTAAATAGGTTTTAAAGAAAACTTGATAAATCAACACAACAATGAATAATAAATTGTTAAATATGCTCCCCACATGTAATTTACTAGAGATAGACAAAAGACATTTGCACTAAGAAAAAAATTGATAGATCTAATGACTGGTATACACAATTTTGACTTGATGAGGTTATGGAAAGCAAATGAAAAGTTACTAGGATATTTATGAACCTCATAAGTCACAGTTCCACCAGATGAGGCAGGTTGACGAAGTGTCACATTAGATATGGCTCCATTTGCTGTTAAGATGCAAACATTTCTTGGCCCATTCAGGGAAAGTGCCATGATTTTTGATGACAAGTCCTGAATATCAAAATAGATAATAAAAAAAGTCAATATTTGGTCTCAATATATCTTCCACAAATTAAGTTCCTGTAGCCTTTCCAAGGTTACAAAATTATTTTTGAAAATCAATAATTGTTTAATAAGTGTTCAGTCAAGTTTCAAATAAGGAAATTTGGCCCCATAGTTTTGAAACAACAGACTACTGAAAAACTTACAAACTCATAGATTAAATACGCTTTATTAACCCAGTTACACAAACTCGTCTAGGTCATTGTCAACTGGCATATACACCAGTGAAAAATTGAAGTGAGAATGATACCTATCAAATCAAATATACAGGGGCTATAGAGGAACCGAAGGAATGAAGGAATCAAACAAAATTAAAAATAATAAAATCATAAAGCCAAGGGAAAAAACTATTTTACCAAAAGTTTATATTTTTTCACATTCACCCCAAGGAAATCTAATCAACAATCAAATTTTGTAAAGTTGACAAATAGAAGCAAGTGAAAAAAATGTATTAATCTCAATATCTTTTTCAGAAACAACAATATTCATCAAAGCAAACAAAATTAACGCTTAAAATAAAGTGTATGTGTATTAATAATATGGAAAGTGCTAATGGGAATATTTGGATTACAAGTTATTGAACAAGCAATATAAATAATGAAAACATAATTGCCTATAAAATAGAAGACAATACAGCAGACATTCTCAATGAAAACAATTTGGTACAGCATCTCAAATATTCTGTAAGATTCAGCAGATACCTCTCCAGCCTTCACATTTATGATGTGAGGTATGAAAGAAACTCCTGCTGATCCTGCAGAAAGATTCCATCAGAGATTTAACATAAGACGTACATGATATTTTATTTTTACTTCAGGAACGAAACAAAGAAAATCATGCACATTTGAAATTAATATGACATGCAAAAGAGAAAGTAGGTAAAGTCTGCTGATATCCAAGGGAATACTGAATGCAAGCAAATAAGAAATTGCATATTCAGCGCAAAATGGGAGCAGCACATGACAGACGGGCAAAAAAGTAATTTTGAAAATTAGGGAATCCATAGCCAGACGGAATAGGTCCCAAATTATAGATCTAACATATAAATAGACAAATATAAAATCCACCCATCCATACCTACTGTATTCTACAATTTAAAATTTACAGTGACCTGCGACCAAGTTGAGCTTAAGCTCTGTATTAAAATGAGCAAAAACCATTGCACATCCTGTGAGAAAATAGTGTGAGAGAGAGAGAGAGAGAGTGAATCTTATCAGGGACACACGCCGTAGGACATGGGGGCAAAAATGTTAAAATTTCGACATCACATGAAAATCTAAAACAAGCACAAGAACAAGTCAAAATAACTCATAAGCTGCGGTCGGAACTCCTCAATTTAAAAACGAAAAATAAAAACTATAACTTCAAAACTTTAAAGCTCACTCTATAAAACAATACCATCTAATCAAAGTCAAAGGAGAGGTAAAGAAGACAAAGGAAAATAACAATTACCAGAAGCCCTAAATCGATTCTTATTGCCAGATCCGCGAGGCCTGCCTCTTCCCTTCTTCGAGGAACCAGGCGTGGCAGAAGCTGGAGGAGGAGGAGCAGGAGAAAATGCTCCGCCGTCGACGGGGGCTGGGGAGGCGGCGGCGGCGGAAGCAGCAGGTTGAGGAGAGGTAAGAGTTGGCGTCAAGGCTAATCCAATGGAGCCATCAGGTCCATATTTCCTGGGCCTCCCCCTCTTCCTTTTCAAGGGTTCAGAAGTGCTACCCAATTGGCCTTGGCCCTCGGACACGGGCACCGCCGCAGCAGTGGGTTCACCACCGTTGATGTTGACAGTAGCGACGGCGGAGGCGGCGGCGACGGTGGTGGAGGGGTTGTAGGTTGGGGAGGCGGTTGCGACGGGCTTGTAAACAGCAGCGCCGTCAGCACCAAATTCGAGTTGCATGTTTTGAAGCTGCTGCGGCTGAGGTGGTTGTTGTTGGAATTGGTGAATCCCAACGCTGAATTGGTCTCTGTTTGTGTTGCCCATGTCAGATCCAGACGACATGTTTAGGGGTTTTCTTCTCTTCTGAATTGAATAGCTGAATGGATTCAATAACAGCAATGGTTACGTTGTTATTTGGTTCGAATTTCCCCTACATAAATATAAAACCCTAACCTAATCCTAATCCTATTAAGGTATACTATAACATCTCCTCAGAAACGCTCACAAAGACAATCAATGATGATCTTTCCTTTTTCTGCTTCTGGCCATAGATACAAATTTCAAATTCAAATTTCAAAAATAATTAATGAATTGCATCCCATCATTCTTTCCGTTTTTTTCATTTTCAAATTTTCCATTCCCGCACCTGATTGAAAATTTTGCCCTCACTTGCAAATTTTCAAAATCTGTGTTTGTAAACCCCAAAATCTAAGAGCGAAAAAAATTAATAAATTATTTTACTATATTATGACATGACATATATGGAACCTTCATTAAATGAAATTATTTTTTAATTGGCCGAGGGATTAGGTAAAATCTGCTGTACCAAAATTGGAAAAAATAAATAAATTTCTTTTACAAAGAAAATAAATGCAGAGTGAGAATTATGGTGGTAGAAAATTCTAGAATTTTAGTAGTAATCTTCAGATTCTTCACACAACAGATTTGAATATTTTATAAATTAATTTTAAATAGATTTTATTTTTCCCTTATATATCCCTCCTTTTTATTGATAGTCTTTAACTATTTAAAAAATAAAAAATAACCAATTTTATAAAAGGAGAAAAATAAAATAAAAGACAAATCCGTAAAAAAATAAAATTCAGTTGTCCTCATTTGTGGAAAGCAATAGTGCAATGAAGTTATTCGTGTATTTTATGACTTGTTTGGTGGATACAATTAAAAAAAAAAGACATAAAGAGAGCTGGACAAGAGTATCATAGGATACGATATCCTCATATCTTATCTTGTGTTTGATGTGGATAAGATAAGTAGTTTGATTTGAAACAAACCATATATTGTATATGAATAGATAAAAATATCTCTTTAATAGAATTTTATATAATTTTTCAAAATTATTTTTATTTCTTTTTTTTACTTATTTATATATAATTTTTTATTTTATATTATTAAAAAAATTAAAAAGTCTTAATTTTAAATAATATATATTAAAATTCAAAAATTACTTTCGAAAAAATTTAAAATATTAAAAATTATATCCTCATTGATTAAATTCTCGTAGATTAAGTTTTAAATTGGTTATTAATATTGGCCACTAACAATGGTGGGTAGTGGCCGAGGCTAGCAGCAGCTGGTGCAGTGGGTGACCAATTGAAATGGTGGCAGTATTAGTTGTGAGGACAGGTGACAATGGATAATGGTGATAAAACCAGTAATAATTAATAGAAACTGTGGTGATTGATTGGTGATCGGTGCGTAGTGGTTGGTGGTGCTGGTGGTAAATTGCAACAACGTCAATGGTGGCAGATATTGATGCAATGGTGGCATGTGAGGGTGGTTGGTGGAAATGATGGTGACATGTGGTGAATTGATGGCGGTAGTGATATCTAGTGGTAAATGAGAACAGTTGTGGGGACTGATTAGTGATGGTGGTGAGTGATTGGTGCCTAGTGGTTGGGGTGGTCGTAATCGGTGACAATGGTGGTGATTGGTAGCTTATTGTTAAATAAATTGTTTGAATAGTATAACAAAATTGAGAAATATAAAATTCTTACTTTATAATAATTTTAATGTAATAATTAACATAAATTAATATTATATTTTATTATTTTATTTTTTGCATTCCTCTTGTGGTTATATTAATAATTGAGGATACATTGATTTAGTGATATTAAAATATAATAAATATGATATTTTATAGGGATATTTGTTTCTTCTTCTGCTGTAAAACAAAATTCCATTCCTGCACAAACATAACTTTATGGGTCCCATAAGTCAAAAAGAATAAAAAATAATTATTAAAAACAAGATTAAAACTTCTTTGTGCATGAAGGGTGTTGTTTTCTCCAACAACGGGAGAAAAACAACACCCTATTTTATATGTCTAATTAATGGAATATTTCTAAAAAGGAAAATTTCAAAATAATATTTTTTTTCGATTAACTCTAAAGTCTACTGAAATATTTTTAAGGGGTGTATTGAAATAGAATTTTAAAAGATTGTTTTAAAATAAAAGTTCTTATAAATTTTGAAAGACTATATAGAATTATAGTGGCTTTAGAGGCTTTTTTTTTAAAATCATTCTTACAATAAAGATTTCATAATATTGGATTTTAAAGGATTTTAATAAAATTTATGAGATTTGAAAGGATAATATGAATTTATAAAATTTTAAAAAACTATATGAATTTTTAAGAAACATTCAAAGGTGATTTTCAAGAAGGATCTTCAAATCAAAAATTTATATGCATAAAATTCAGTAAAACTTTGTGATACCTTTGCATGCTCTTAGTGTGATGGAGCATGTTATTCATATTTAAATATTTTTTAAAAATGTTTATTAAAATATTATATGAAATTTTTTATAGTAAATGCAAATTTATTTATCCCAAGTAATAGATCATAAAGATAAAAGCTGATATATATACACACACTGTGCAATTGGAGCATTATTCTTCTACTCATTATCTTGTCAAATAATAACTTACATTCATTATGGTATGAGAATGCTTAACATTGTTGAATATAGGGTTGGCAAAACGGGCCAACCCGGCTCGACCTGGCCCAACCCGCATTTAGCCCGAAAAAAATGGGTCGGGTCGGGTTGGCTCGAAAAAAAAAAACGAGCCAGAAAATCCAACCTGGCTCGACCCGAGCCGGGTTAGGGTTGGCTCGCGGGTTGGCTCGATAATCAGCTCGCGGATTGGCTCGTAAAAAAGCTCACGGGTTGGCTCAAAAAAAGCTCGCGAGTTAGCTCGAAATGATGCTAGTGGGTTGGCTCGCGGGTTGGTTAGCTCAAAATATTGGCTAGCGGGTTGGCTCAAAAAATTTAATTTTTGTGGTTTGTTTTCCTGTATAAAATTATTGTATTTTGCAGTCCAACTACAAGTAGAGTAGTTTACAAAATCCAAAAACATTAAATGAAACACAAACCACTCCACGAATCACAAGAGTCATTTATCATGATTTTTTGAATTACTCTAACTCACGATAACCATAAAACGTATGTAAAGCCAAAAAATAAAAAATAAAAGAAGTCCATCAGTGGAGAATCCACCAGTAAAGTCCATTGTATTAAAAAAAAAAAAAAAAAAGAGTAACCCACGAGCTGGCTCGTTTGAGCTCGGGTTGGCTCGGGTCGGGCTAAATCGAGCTGGCAGCTCATTTTTGTCAACCCAACCCGGCTCGTTTTGTGCGGGTTACGAGCCAACCCGACATTTTTGCCATCCCTAGTTGAATAGATATTCTTTTAACATAGTGTCAAAAAAAAGTTATGCAAACAACATTGATTTTTTTTCTTTGTTATTGAATATTGAAATATTGTCTCTCATTGTGTGCCTAATATGGTGCATAAAAAGTCTTGAGAAATTTTTATCGGCAATATACTTTTTATTAAATATGTTTATCGTTAATGTATTACTAGTACTATGATTGAATCAAAAATAAAATAAAATCATTAAAAAAATAAAATAAATAAATAAAATGGAACACATCATTAGAGATGACAAGCACAACCATAAATCATTAATTAATCATGAAAATGAATAACATAAGGAGGAATGCCAAAACCATAGAAAATATATGAGAATAAAAAAAGAACATATCTTGATTTTGAGAAAAGGCTAGGGTAGATTGAGAAATCTAAAGTAATCTCAGGGGTAAGATTATGAGAAAGACATGTTATTTATACTTCTCCATGTAAAGTCACACAAAATTTACACTAATAATTTTTTTATTAAAATCGTTAGATTTTTGAATATCACAAGATTATTTTTTCTTTGTTTAAAATCTTAATTGAATACACTGAATTTGGATGGACTCTAATCGAATACGGCGTGATTTTTTTTTTTTTTAATATATAGGAAGGGCATAGCTCAAGTTACAGCGAGTTTAAGAAGCGAAATCTAATTACACCAGCAGCATCAGCTTCTAGTAGTCTAATGACTTCTACAAGAGGATGAGGATAAATAGTGGTCCTTGATCTCCTCATTACGGCGTAACTTTTTTAGAATCCTTTAAAATTTTAATTGAATATCAATAAATTTTTTATCGAAAAATAATTTATTAAAATCTCAATCAATACACCCCTTAAAATACACACAATACAATGAATCATACTACTAACATAATTTGTTGGTCAGAAATTATATATTCAACTGGGAAAATGTTGTAAAGTATAACACATTTTTCCCACGGTACAGAGAAAAGTATAAAATTTCTCTTTTTTTTATCTGATTTTTTTTTATAAAAAAAAAAAAATATATCTTTTCTAATTACACTAACAATGATTTGTAGCATTTTTCAAAAAGATTTATTCGTACGTTTATAAATTGTTTTGTTTTGTTTTTTTCTTCTTTCAAACTCAATATTGGTAATTATGCAGACTTATAATTTGAAATTGTGAATTTTTGTGTGTGTATAATTGGAGAAAATGTAAATAGTATTATCGTGCTAGTATTTTTTTCTGGTATTAATTAACAACAATGACATTTTTTATTTATTTATAGAATAAGTGCCCTTTTTCCCCCCCTTGAATTTATTAAAATAGCAATGATAATAAAATTAAAATTGGAGGCAGAGAAGGTCATCGACTCATCTGAAAGGAATGGCGTCAGTTTCATGGTTCTGTTATCTGCATACGCGACCTACTGCACGTGACTTCACAGCCTCTGCGGGAGACAAAGGTTCAATAAACTAAACTCAGCTAGTTTTTCATGTTGTTCAATATCCGTGATCGATTTGGCTGAGGTTTTTGTTCAGGTCTATTACCTTCCATAACCGTAGAGAACCATAAAAAAACATCATATTCACTGTAAGAATACAAGTATCACTTTTTGCTTCTTAATTCCCATCATTTTTCATGTCTCATGCATCAACAATATGCTTAATAATTAATGTGTCTGTGTTCTATCAGTTCTTCAACGGAAGAAGGATATGCTGTTAACAGAAGACAAATTATTCTTCACACTGCAGTAGCTACATTTGCGGTCCCAGCTATTGTCCCAAATGCATTGGCAGTCAACGGTGATTGCTATTTCTATTTAAAATAAAAAATAAAAAAACAAAAGATCCTTCCTTGTATTCTTATTTTGTATGACTATATCCGTATCATAATACCCTTCAATTTAAATGTGTTTTGAGTCTTAGATGTGTCTGAGGATATTCGTGATTACACTGATGATGTCAACAAGTTCAAGATAACGATTCCCCAAGGTGAATTGAATTGCCAAGTTTGGAAGTAAAATGGTAACTTCAATTTAGTTGCTTAAATTATATACTCTGTGTGTTTCTATGGCTGGATCAGAATGGCAAGTAGGAACTGGAGAGCCTAATGGGTTTAAATCAGTAACTGCTTTCTACCCAAAAGAGGCATCTAATTCCAATGGTAGTATCAGAGTCTCTTAGCTTGTCAATTTGCATTTCTTATCCATTATAATTTATACCATATAAAATTAATTGCTATCAGTTTGTTGTTACAGTGAGTGTTGTGATCACAGGGCTGGGACCGGATTTCACTAGGATGGAATCGTTTGGCAAAGTTGACGAATTTGCGGAGACTCTGGTGTGATTTCATGATTAGATTTAAAACTAGTATTTGCAAGTTTTCTTTCCCTATTTCGTTAAAATGCATTCAACAGGTTAGTGGGCTGGACAGAAGCTGGCAAAGACCTCCGGGTGTAGCTGCTAAACTCATAGATAGTAAATCATCCAATGGTGCTTACTTTTACTCTTAAAAACTCCTCCTTTATTGTATGGGGAAAGAAATGTTGTTGTAAGATTGTGTGTAGTGTACTCCATACATGAAAAACGTATAGAATCCAAATTTTTTCAGAAAAGAAAAACATACAAATGTAATATCACCTATGCTGACAGCTGGCAATTTAAATTCTTTCATGAATGATATAAATTATAAAATATCGATGTACATATGTTTTTGATCTTACACATGCTCCTAAGACATACTTAATGAGACACGGGGACACTCTCCCAAGGACTAGAATCATGAGTACCATTAAAGTTTCAGTTCTTAATTCAGCTCAAACAATGGTTCAGGGATTTATTACATTGAGTACTCGCTCCAAAATCCTGGTGAGAGTCGCAAACATCTATATTCAGCTATTGGGATGGCATCAAATGGTTGGTATAACAGACTGTATACTGTGACAGGACAGGTTTGTTGGCCTCATTACTACATAGATATACTACGATTTCTATGTGTATGTGTGTCAGTCTAATTCTAAATATTGCTCAGTAATGACTCTATCCTGTTGCCTCTATGCAGTTCGTGGAAGAGGAAACAGACAAGTATGCTTCCAAAATTCAGAAGGTGAACTTATTTCTTTGGTTAACATAGTTATTTGACAGCAAAGGTTATATGATCCTCCAAGATATTTATTCTGGCATTTAGTTTATCAGACAATGCAGCATAGTTCATTGATTCTTTGTTATGTACTGAAATTCAACTTCCATTTGATTCCTACAGGCGGTTGCATCATTTAAGTTCATATGAAGAAATGGTCACGAGGAGGAGGGAGAATTTGCATAAAAGACAAAAGAGGTTTAACCAAATGGCTATTCATTATTGCATAAAACAAGTAGAGATGAAAAAACAAATATGAGTAGTTTATCTGTCAGTTGATATGAAATGCCCTTGATTTTAATAAAAGATCATTAAGAAAATGTAGATTCCTAAAGTGTAAGAAGATGTTTACACAAGTTGATATGATTGCAGAAGAATCAATAACAAGAATAATGACTTGTAAGAGAAAAATAAGTCAAAATAAATGACAAATTTTTAATTGCAGTTGATTTCACAGCTATGCCATGTTTCTTGCACTGCTCAGCTAGAGCCCTAAATAACTCCTCAAGATCTGACTGTATGTGTTCAGCCAACAGAATAACAGACAGGTTTACGTAGAACTTCCTGTCTTAATTCAAGAAATAAAATTCACCTGAAGAATACCATCTGCACTGCATCCTTTTTCCATTTTGACAATGGCCTGCTGCAACTCAACCTTCCTTTCCTAAACATGTACCAACTAATTGTAAAACGATGCATTGAAATGTTTCTAGACAGTCATATATCCAGGCTAACTACTATTAACCAGTTCCCAGCATCAGAATCAATTCCAAACAGCTAGTAACATTATCTGAAATAAATAACAGATAAAGTGCAATATGACTTGTTTTTGGAAGGGGAGGGGGAAGAAAAGGAGGTTATAGATTATTAAAAAAAAAAAACAAGAGAGTTCATTTGCGGGGGATCAGTGGATTTGGATGGACAAGAGTGGCATCTGTGCTCTAAAAAAGACTTTATTCAAATCAGATATCAAACTAAGGATTTGAATATCTAAATACCCTATTGAGCATAGAAGTGATGTAATTTCTTATCTCAGAGGAAGTATTCTCCTCACTTTTGAGAATACCATATTGCTTGGGGCTAGACCTTGTGACACACCAATTGAATCAAGCAAGAAGCTTAGAAAAAAAAAGATGGGACAACACAACACATGGGTCACCCATAGAGATAGATACAAAAGGTTAAGTGGTCTGGCTGGACATTGCTTTGCCAGTGAGTGTTGTAAGTCAGTTTATGTCTTCACCAACTACAACTAAATGGGAATCTCTGACTTGCATAATTAAGAACTTAAAGAATGTTCCAGAGAAAGGCTCTGCAACAATCATAGGCATATGGAGCTTGAAGCTTATACTGATGTTTATTAGTATGAATCTCCTTCCTATAGACCAAAAATCCATTACCAATTATTGTGTTTTTGTAGGGGGAAAACCCAATTTCATGGAAAAGAAAGAAGCATAATGTAGTTTATAAGGTATAGTGCTAAACTCGATTATTGTGGTATGACTCTAAGAACTTGTGATATTAGGAGGATTAGACATTTGCTGAGTGAAATTAGGTTTGCTAGAACGGTAACTCAAATGAGAAGAACACCTTAAAAACAAAAAATATCGGGAAAATAAAAATAAAAAATAAAAACACCGAAGAAAGGAGAGAAAACTAAGTTTTTTTTATAAATTTGAAGGGAGCGATCGCTATTGTTATCCCCCTCCTCGCACAGCACAGTGGTGCTGATTAGTATAATTAATTTTCTTAAGAAATTTTTTACATTTTTATATACTGAGTGAATTTTACCAAAAATATATAATCATTAAAATCAAATCTTATAATTTTTTTTAAAAGACTAAAGTTTGTAAATGAGTAAAAAATAATTTTAAATATGGGATAACTATTTATGATTAATATTTTAATACACACATTATTCATATTATTTTATTTTAATAATAAAATTAATTTCATGTGTAGATAATTATCTGAAACTTTACATTTCACATTATAAAAGATATGCAAGTCACGAATTTTTTATTTTTTATTTTGGTAAGCTAAAGGGCAAAGCCCCATCAAAAACAAGAATTACAAAGTAACTAAACGAGGAAAACTGACAGAAGCTATATCAGCTAAAAATACATGCCTAACTCCAAACGGAGGAAAATGGTAGAAACGAAAACCAGTATCTTGCGGATGATCTAAGGGATAGTTGGATAATCAGTCTGCACACATATTACCCTCCATGTAGACATGTTGTAGAAACACCTGCCATTCTTTATTCAGCCATGCCCGAATGCGAGTCAGAAGATGAGACTCTCGGGCCGCATCACCAGGTTTGGTGAGCACCGTGATTGGATATAAAGAATCACTTTCAATAATTATTTTTTTATATCCTTTTTCTCAAACTTCTTCCAAACTTTTAAGAATCCCCCATAACTCAGCTATGATAGCCGAACAGATACCAATACCAAAAGAGAAGCCACCACACCAGTTACCAAGATTGTCTCTAGCAATCCCACCACAAGCTGCAAAACCAGGATTACCTCTTGAAGCTCCATCTGAATTAAATTTGATCCATCCCTCCGGAGGAGGATGCCAAGCAATAAAAACATGATGTCTAATCCTTGGCAGAGAACTTATATCTCCACAATCGAAGGCATCTCTAAGACTCTAACCTCTTTAATTTGATGATGGATAATTTGGACTTTGTAACAATGAAAGGATGTCGGATGATTATGCACTATTTCATTTCTCCATTTCCAGAAATACCAATAAGTTAATATGCAACATAATAAATTTATTTTAAATATTTCTGTTTATGACAAGATTTTAACCGCTCCAATTACGTAAAATAATATTTATTTATTCCATTTATGAGTTAAAAAATTACGCTTTATACATAGTTCTAAATATAATAAACTTAGCTTATAAGAGAATTAAGATTTAATTTTTATATTAATGGAAAAATATAAAATACCTCAAACATATATGTAGAACATAATCAATATAAATTTTTATTTTAAATAGAGATCTGATATCCCTATGATCTAATATATATAAAATTATAAATCCTTTATTTTGAATAAATATGATAAGATATTTGACATCAATAATTGAACAACCATAACTATTATAATGACTAGAATTAGCATTTGCAAATTAAATAAATAAAATTATTTTGAAGTGTTTCTATTTGTATCACCCGGTGATACAACTTCATCTTTATTTTGAAATAAAAATATGAATTCTGAAATTAATAATAATAATAAAAACTTTTAAAAATTTATTTACCAAAAAAAAAAAAAACTTTTAAAATTAGTGTGCAATAACATAGAGGTGACAATTTGAGTTGAACCCAACGGATCAACCCGTCAAAACGGGGCGGGTTGAGTTATACATTTCAACCCACCAATCCACCTCAACCGCTCCGCTTAATTGTGGGTCAAAACGGGTTGGCGGTGGCTCGGGACGGGTTGGCCCGCGGATTAGTTTTTTTTTTTTTTTTTACTAATAGGGAGTATTGTATTCGTCACTAAGTTTTTGTGATATGAATTTTTTTTTTCTTAATACTCCCTTAGAAAAAATAAAAAAGAAAAACTTTATTTATTACAAAGATTATCCATATATCGAAGCAGAAATAAGTTTCTAAAAAATATTTGACTGAATATTAGTATACATTTAGGTTTGAGATTGAAAAAAAACTAAAGGCACTATGAAATGAAAATAAGAAATATTATAAAATTAATAAAATATAATTTATTTTTTTATTTTTTAGGTGAATTGACCTACCAACTCACCGCAAAACGGGATGAGTTAAAATTTTTAACTTATATCAAAATATGGGACGGGACAGGCAAACCCAATTTCAACAGTCGACGGCGGAGCAGAGCCACCGGTTTTGCCACCTCTGCAATAACATATTCACTCTTAAATTTTGAAAGTTACGGCTCAGCAAGAGTGGTGTAAGTGAGATAGCTGTTATCTCAGATACGAATATGATTGGGAAAAAATGAACAAGTTCGCCTCCAACATAAGTTTAGAGAGGGAATCATGTGCCCCGATAGTTTGATGATCCCCTACTGGTATTTATTTGTTGTATATCCCCCTAGTGATATTTATTTGTTTGTGTATGGCTAATCATGCATATCAGTAGTGAAGAAGCGCTATGTAGCTCTTCCCTGTTAGTTTTGGTTGTTTTCTTTGTTTGCTGGGTGTATTGCCCTTTTACTTATTAAAAAAATAAAATTCTAATAATAGATAAACACCATAATTTCGCACAATTTTAAAGAATATTCTTTAAAATCAAATATAAATTAAAAGATACCATGACACAAATCATTTTAAGAACAAAAAAAAACTCTCAGCACCACCCTAACTCAGAATTGAGTAAGCAATTGATTATATTACATATAATACTGAACAATTATCCAGAAGCTTCCCAGCCAAAGCAAACAGAGTGCTGGATAATTGAAAATGAAAATTGAATACACTCGCTAAACCTAAGATCAGTAGCTAATTAAAAGTCGTCAGTCATCAGTTCGTTTTTACATTATTTCCTTCTGGGCATTCTCTGATTTTTGGTGCAGATGGTTTATGAAATAAAAGAGTAAGCTGATCAATGAAAAACATGTTCTTCATTTGCTCCAACTGCTGGCGTTCTTTTTCCATCAGCAGGTCTAAATCTTCAAAATGAACAAGCTTGTCTTGGATATTTTTCATCTATATAACAGAATACCCAATATTTAGCAAAATATTTTTAAACTTTATAAATGCAGACGCCATCCAATCAAACTTTAGCATATGACAGACCTGAACTTCTATAATCTCAGAAATTGCTTTTTCCGTATCTGATTCTTCCTTCTCAAGATGTATATTTGCATGCAATCGAGATCCTTGAAATGAATCTAAAGTATTACCCCCGTTAGATGCAATACCAGCACCGTCTGCATAAAAAATAAAGCCACCATTCTACTGAGGAAATTTAATTTAAAAAATAAATCCTCCACTTTCTATTTATGGAAATTCCATAGAACACATAATAATTACAAGGAAAAAAAATAAACAGAAGAAGAAGCTGACTACTAAATATGTGAAATTCCTACTAGGATATAAATATATAATGCCCATTTGTGGTTATTCTAAAAGTCAGTCACTGGAAAAAGGAAATGACAAATTTGGTGGACCATGTAGAGGTTCACTAAAGATCAGTTACAAAACAACTTTTAGAAACCATTCAAATTAATACTACATGATGAAGATCGGTCCATCCATTTCAAGATCAACCACATTAAGACCTATGACAGCTTAATGCATTCCGAAGGCTATAATCTTAAGCTGAATCATTTATCATTCTCACCTTGCAGCAATGTATTCCTTGGAAGTGACCCGTAGTTTATTCCAGTTGTTTTGTAAACCTCGGACAGAGTTGTCACTGCAGCTTGAGCAGCAACTTGTGCAACCTCTGAACCTGCCAAAGCAGACAGGAAAGCAGCCTGCAAGAATATGAATAAGAAATGTTAATAGATCATACAAAAGACACAGCAAGGCTTTTAAAGAGATTCTTTCAGCAAGCACATCAGTAATTCAGTATTTAGATCATTCTTCATTTAGCAGTTCAGCTGTGATGAGCCCTTATAGAAATTTAACCATGACCCTCTGTATACTACTACAGACTAGTGTTCTACAGCAACCAGAATAAATCATCGGTCACTTGCTAAATTAAAACGCCCCAAACCCTTCCCACAAATGAACCACAAAACCAAGGAAGTTGTCCCAAACAGTCTCCATCCTAGGGCAAAATTCAGGAGGCCAAGTAAGAGTCTAGTAATTAATAACCAACTATTAAGACATAGCCATAAGAGAGAAATTCGGAGGTGCAGTTGATGATTCTTTATTGCATTACATAGAATAAAAATAACTCTTAATTTTTTTCCCCTTCCCCAAAAATTATAACATGTAATCAACGATAGTTTAAAGAAAAGAAAGATTGTTTTAACCCAAGAAAGTACCTGAGCCATAATAGGATTGCTTGCATCGGCGAGAGGTGTGAGACGCATTCTTTTACTAGGTTCTGCTGAACCAACAGTTTCCAATTCACATTCAGCATCAGCATTCTTCTTTAATTGATTATTAGCAATATCAGCACTCACGCCAGAGTGTTGATACTGTAGGAATTGGTCCCCAAAAGGAAGCTTCAAAAAGTGAGCAACGCATTCCCTCTCAGTCCTGCCAACAACATGCTGAGAAACCCTCTTCCAATCATCACCAAAATGCGTAATGGCTTCCAAGAGATTCATAGTTTCCTTTTCAGACCAATCCGTCTTTGTCTCCTCACTTATCTCCACTCGCTTAAAATCTGAAGAACTCACACCAACTCGATAATTGCCCCGAACATAACATCTCGCACACAGAGTCAAATCATACTACATGGAAATAACTACAAAGTTCAATTTCTTGCTTTATGCGGTTTTAGATTTATAAAGAAAAAAGAGAAAAAGAAAACCGACCTTATCACAAGCAAAGCAAGCAATGGTACACACCGCTTTGCAGCCACTGCAGACTCTCTTAGTGGTCTCTCGGGTAGGAACCGAAGATTCGTTCAGATTGGATGCAGAATCGGGTTTGCTCTCTTTGTCGTCCCACTTCAAGGGCTTGCTCGACGCCGAAGATAGCTGGTAATTGATCAAACCCCAAGCTTCGAGGAAATCAAACACTCTTCTGATTGAACCAACGTCTCCGACAAGCGTTTTCCGAACATCGGTGAAGGTGATTTTTCTGGTGGGATTGTATCTGAAATACTTGATGATGGAATTCCTGTAGTACTTGTAAACCCTAGGGTTCTTGGAGGAGGAAGAACCTGAATCGAAAAACTCCGGGAGGTGACGGACCTCGCATTGGTGAATAGAATCCCATGAGAACCACCTGGAGTGGCTGGGGATTAGGATTAGGTTAGCCTCTTTGGAATCGGACAATGGGACCTCAGGCTTCGCCGGCGGTGGCGGTGGTTGATTCGCAGGAGGAGGAGGCGGAGGCGGAGGCAGAGGCAGAGGTGGAGGTGGAGGTGGAGGTGTTTCGGCGGAGGAAGAGGGAGGTTCCGCGGCTGTGCCCGGAGACTTGGTCGCCATCAATTTAGTTAGCACTTGATCCCTTGGATTGGAGCACCACTTAAACAAGCACAGCTAGAAATTATGTACACCACAATGTAAATAAATTAGGCTAGATTTTCGATTAAACAGTTTGTATAAAATATTTAAGATTTGTCTTACTCTGTTAGCTAAAAAAAGAGAGAGATCATTTAACTTCGTAATAATAAAAATTTTAAGTCTTATTACTCATCTTAACTATTGATTTTCACTTATCTAACGATTATAGCTTAAGAAATCATATTAATTAATTAATTATTAATTACATTACCAATGACAACGGTTGATTTCTGTCTATCAATAACTGAGACGAGGAGTAAGAGTTAAAAATCTTACTCTTTAAGTTAAAAGAATCCTCCCCATGAAGGAGAGAAGTTTTGGCATATGTTTATTAGTTGATTAACCATTTAATAATTAAAATAATATTTTTTATTATTCAAAATTATTAAAATAATATTACTATTTATTTTATTTAAAATAAATAATATGATATAGGCCGGCTTATAGGCTTTTAGACTTGTACAAAAAACTTATGGACTGCTTTCCAAATATATATATTTTTTGAAGTTTAGGCATGTTTTATTTGATTATTTGTAATAAGTTAAACCTGACTTAATATAAGTTAGACCGTAGGCCCAAGTAGGTTAACCTAGCCCATTTACATCCTAACCACAAGTATGTGGAAGAGTGACCAAAATGCCACGTTTTGGCAAAAAAATTACCAGAATGCCACGCGAACAGTAAATTTTGCCAAACTGCCACGCGGCATAATTCGCTACACAGTGTAGCGAATTATGTATGCAAGTAATTCGCTACACAGTGTAGCGAAATATGCCACGTCAGAACACACAGAACCAAAAATGCCACATGTCAAATTTTGCAAAATTCGCTACATAGAATGTCAAATTTTGCAAAATTCGCTACATAGGGTAGCGAATTTTGCAAAATTTGACATGTGGCATTTTTGGTTATGACGTGGCATATTTCGCTACACTGTGTAGCGAATTACTTGCATACATAATTCGCTACACTGTGTAGCGAATTATGCCGCGTGGCAGTTTGGCAAAATTTACTGTTGGCGTGGCAGTCTGGTAATTTTTTTGTCCAAACGTGGCATTTTGGTCACTCTTCCATTTTACCTCTTTAATTTTTCTATCTGGTATTTGATTCCCGATATTTACCAATACGATCGTTTAGTGCTGCGGGGCCCCTAGCAACACTGAGTGCCGTGAACCCCCGGGGGAGCACTCACACGATTGTGCCAAATGGAACAATCTCATTACCACAAGCAGTCCTGTTACCGTAAAACTTCGTAAGACCATAACTTGACTCGGGGATCCAAATCAAATTATTATTATTTTTGCATAACTTTTTTAGATCTACGCAAAGACACCTCATTTGACATATTTTATCTCTCACAATCGTAATTCGAATTTATAACAATGGTACTACAACTACAATAGTTTTTAAATTCAAAAGCATATGTTAAGATAATAACATGACGTTTGCGAAAATTTTGGCAAAAAGAGATAGAAACCCTTGATTTGTTTAGCTTCCTCGATTTTCAAATCAATTTTGTTGATATTTTAATTAAATGAATTTCTGTCTGTTAAAGTTGCAGCAGCACCTGTACGAGACTATAATTAATTTTAAAATTTGTTTTTGTGAAAAAAATAAAACAAAGAAAAAATGGAAGCAAAAAAGGAGACCCTAACAGTAGGGAAAGAAGAAACAAAGCAGGGATAGATGATAGCTTCAGAGGCATCAAGCATGGTCAGCATGTTATCATCTATCCCTGCTATATGTTTGTGAAGAAAAGAAAACGAAGAAAAAGTGAGAGCAAAATGGAGAATCCTAGCAGTAGGGAAAGAAGGAACAGAGCACGAATAGACGATAGCTTCAGAGGCATCAAGCATGGCCAACATGTTATCATAGTCTTTTTCTTGTGATTGTCGTACCGTTGTTATAAATTCAAACTGTTTACAGAGATAAAATATGTCAAATGAGATGTCATTGCGTAAATCATGAAAAGTTATGTGAAATCAAAAAACATCATGTGATTTGGATACCCGAGTCAAAAATTATGATTTTCTGAAATTTTACGGTATCGGGACTAACTGTGGTAACGAGATTGTGTCACTTGACACAATCATGTTTGGGGGGTCGCGTCACTCACTTAAAAAAAAAGATTATGTGAGTGTCCCAAGGGAGTTCATGGCACTCAGTGCCGCTAGAACTCTACCATGGTACTAAAAGACCCTCACTAATAAATATCGAGGATTGAATATCAAATAGAAAAACTTAACCGAAAAAAAAATCCTTTGGATCAAAGAGCCCAAGTATGTACATAATAATTTTATTTTAAATTTTTATTTCAGATTATATGAGAATTATGTAAATAACATTTTTGAGTGACATCTTCAAGCACACCTACTAACATAGGCATAGCTACTTAAATTTTAAAACCGAGTTTTTTATTTTATTTTATTATAAAATGATTCTAAATTTTATTTGTACTAAAAGAACACTATTTTACTACATAAAACTTTAGAATGAAATTATCTTTCTTTGAAGTAAGAACCAGCAAAATTTTGGAATAACTTATTTACAAAAACTATACAAATTTGATTGCGATAATTATTTTCAAGTTTTCCTATAATAATTGTAGTTCATATGACATCTCCATATTAAAATTATCATTTATTCTTTACACATTTGTTGTTGGTCATCCATCAGAACTCCAATTTATTTACCTATATTTTATTAATGACTTTCACTTTCAATCAGAAATTACCATACTCCTAATTTTGTACATAAATCTGGGTGTTTGATAACTAAAATTACCTACATATGCCATGCTTTCAATTATCAACCTCTGAACAGGAAGATATACCAACAGCTGAAAAGTCTATGCATTGTTGGTGAATTAATGCTAGTTAAAACTTGTAGTTCCTTGTTCAAGTGTTTTCCAGTGAATGTTAATGCCTAGATATATGAGCATTCGTCTTGCAAAAGGATAGCCATCAAAGATGGCTGTTGAGAAGAAAAATCTTACTTCAAATATAAATTGAAGCACTCTTTCAATCACATGAAAATTAAGAAAACATGAAGTAGTTTGAGACGCGTGACAAGTACAAACACATGTGACAATTAATTTGGATGCTATTTCTGCCACTTGTTTGTATTTCTCATCATTTTTCTTTCCCAATGATATTGCTTGTAACATAACACCACCAAATCAGGGCTAATTATTTTCATATTTTCAAATAAATAGAATATACATCACGTGTATCTGCACATACATTTCTGTAATTTCATTTAGTGGATTATCACATCTTTTTAAATATCGAACCTGATATACAAGTAACCATAAAAAGAGGGCAGAGGAAGACAGACTTTGTGCACGGCCTAACATGTATTGTCACTCATCACTTGTTCAAGCCCATTGGATTCTTTTTTTTCTTTTAATCAGATTCATACCATTTAATCACTCCTTACTCGTTTAAAAAACATAAAAAAACCTTAAACTCTTACTTGCCTTAAACCCATAAAATCCTTAACTTTATCTACTTAAAATCCTCAATCTTTTTGGCTTCCTGCATGATTCCAATTACAATTTCTTGAGGGGGAGAAAATTGCTCTCCTTACCTTCAAATCAAATTGAAGTCTAACTAGAACCATAAAACCTACTATTAAGTCATTGTAGGATGATTTGCAATTCCATCCTATGTCAGTTACTTATCAGCAGGACAAGGTATATTGAACTGAAGAGACATAGTCGTGACATAACAAAAATGCTATCATAAGCAATAGTGAATTAACAACAAAGAAAAAGTTGTTTACATCAAAATACTAATGGCATCTAAAATTTGACAGGGGTTGGTACATATACATAAGCAAAGTTGGCCGAAGTGGTTCTTTGTCTGTGGGGTAGGTGACATGTAACAGGTAGTGCATCTGATGCAACAGCAGCAGCATGTCCTTGTTTCAATTGTTGAGCAGCTTCTTCAAAGGCAACAGCATGTCCTTTGCTTCAAGTGTTGAGCAGCTTCTTCAAAGGCAGCAGCATGTCCTTGTTTCAATTGTTGAGCAGCATCTTCAAAGGCAGCAGCATGTCCTTGTTTCAATTGTTGAGCAGCTTCTTCAAAGGCAGCATCATTTTGAATTGAGTTCCTAATGATGCTGACAACAATATCAAGATTGTGTTCAACATAGGGGTGTTTTGAAATGACCAATCGATCTAACTGTCTTGCAGTGAGAGGCATATGCTTGGCAATTTCAAGAACAGATTTATTTGGCAATACATAACCAGTACTCTCATCCTCTGCTCGTGCCAGCATGTCCCGAAATCCATATAGTCCTGAAACAATGGCAAGCTGCTGAGCATTGAAACCAGCCTCTTGCAATCCATAAATACCAAGGTATGAGTTTTTTGTCATAAGTTCTTTCTCATATAGCTTCATGCAGACATTGTAGCTGCGTTTGTAAACCTCCACCAGAGGAGTATCAGAACTTTCAGAATCCTTAGGCAAGGAAAATAACTCAATCCTCATCAAATCATATATATAGAGCAAATAATGAGTATCTTCTCTGGCATATTTTAGCATCTCATCAGGAAAAGGGCGTAGTCTCCAATCAGCAGTACTATATTCTTTGTTTGCAGTGGCACCACAATAATGACGCAGAAGATACTCCAAAGAGTTCCTCTCCAATTTTAGCATCCTTGAAGCCTGGTGAGTGTCAAACAAATTACACACGTAGATGCCAAAGTCTCGTTGAAGCCACACAATATCTCGATCAGCACCATGCATGACCTTCCTCTTGGAAGGGTCCTTGAACACTTCCCTTAGATAAGACCCAATATGATTGCGAAGCTTCAGAGTGTCAACAACAAAATCTTCAGTCCTTGTTGAGATTTGCATGAGGCAAGTCAAACCTTGGAAAGACCGATATTGATTATGTTCCAAATCAACAGCAAATTCATCCACTGAACGCAGCTTAACAAACAACTCCTTCAAATCTTTGACTTTCTCAACAAACT